TAGGAGCTCTGGGGGGTAGAGGTACGGGTTAGGGTTAGGATAGGAGCTGTGGGGGGTAGAGGTACGGGTTAGGGTTAGGATGGTCTGGATGGTCTTAAGCTGGTGATTCACTGTCTCTGGGGGCTCAAACCGTTCACTTAAAAAATAAATATTAACTCTGTTTTAACCTCCTGGTTTCCTGTTCTGATGGAGGACGCTGCCTTTCTGCCTCTGTGCCAGGATCCTGCTTTTCTCTTTGACCTTTGACCCCTGGGCCTCATAGCAGACGCTATCAGACACTACTGTTTAAATCTAAAGGAAAATGCTTTCAGACATGTGATCCAAACGGGCCAATGGGAGCAGGGCTGCTGTCCCATGTGACCTGAGAAAGGAGAGGATACTGTGTGGGATCCATTTAAATGGAAAATCTTTGGGGAAATCTCTGGAAAATCATTGAAAGTTTAGATTTTTTTAGGTCTTTAGATGAAGGAAAATCATTGTTGTGTTCAAAGAGCTCAGAAATCTGAGCTTTTAATGCTTTTTTACTGCTTAAATCTAAAGGAAAATGCTTTCAGACATTTTCCACCAATCGTGTTCTTATTGTGGAGTTAAAATGTTGTAAATAAGTCATTTGATTGATTGATTGAATATACTCTATTGAGCTCCAGGGAGAAACCCTCAGAACCAAATTAATTAAATCTGTAAACAGACATTTTTAATCTAAAGATAAACCCACTGAGCCTCTATGGAGAAAAACTACCTGAACCAAAACAAAGTCTAGTTCTTAAACCTATCAGCTCCTCCTGATCAGAGATCTGGAACAGAGCAGAACCAGATAAAAACTGGACTCCGGAGAGTTTAGTTATTCACAGCTGAACTCAGTTTGAGCTCCAAAAGACCAGTGGAACAAGTATTACCCTTTAGACATCGTTTATGATTAGTCTGTTTAAATAATTAACTCTTATTACCAACACAAAAACCTTTTTAATCATTGTCAGATGTTGTCAGAAAAGGAAAACTTGACTGGATGTCATTAAGTTAAGAGTGTTATTTGCATATGTCATTCATCTGCTGATGATTTCTCATGTTTATTTGGACTTTTTTCCTGAAACAGGCGATCCAGATCGTGATCGGGGCTCTGATCCTGTGTCTGAGCGCCTCTGTGCTCCAGATCCACGAGGTCCACTTCACCGGGGACGTGGCCCTCTTCCTGATCGTGGTCATACAGGTCAGTCTCTCTGTATTTCAGATAATTAACCATTTTTAAATAATATCCATATTTTTTCTCAAATTGTCTGATCTAAAATGAATGGAATCTACAAATTATAGTTTTTTTGCGCGGATCAAAAATGTAAAAAACTGTAAATGCTTGATTAAAAAAGCTTGTCTTCATTATTATGTGTATGAAGGAGATAAAAAAATTGTTATGCATCTTCCAATATGATCAATAAAGTATGGCACACTCAATGAGCCAAATCACGGCAAATTACATTTTAATTAAAGCCATTTAGAGTCCAGGTCACTGTGACATCAACATGATCCAATCAAATATAAAAAAATATAATTATAATATGATTATTATTCAATACGCAGAGCAAAGAACTGCAGGAACTGGAGGCTTTGGATAGAAAACAATCCCTATTAACAGGAATCATGTCCTGATGTTTCGGGGTTTATAATGTGAGAACACTTTATAATCAACAGCAGATTTTTGAGTAGCATCGACTTTATAAACCCCTTTACTGGAGCACTAATCGGGATCAGATCTGAGAGCTTTGGTCTAGGACTGACTGGTGGTCTATTTTAAGATGGCTGCTCCTCCTCCTCTGCGTCCAGGAACGGGAACACTCAAACAGAGCACATTAATTCATGCTAACATGCTAACATGCTAACATGCTAACATCCTGCTGCTTCCAGTGAGCCGACCAATCACAACCTGCCACAAATAACACCTCGTTGAGCACATAAAGGCTTATTTTCTCAATAAAAAATATCAACAAGGGAAGGAAATGGGAAGGATGAAAGCAAACCAGTCATGTGACCACTAAAATCTAAACATTTACTTGTGATGCTTATATTGTTTATTATATGTTATTTTTTATGCCTTTGCCTGCCTAGGGACTACGGATGAAAATTACCTTTGTAGCTACAATCCGGCATATTTACATTTGTTTTTGACTGATGTTCATTAATGTGCTTTGTCCCTATTCAAATAGATAAATAAATAAATAAATGTGTTTGAATAGCATGTGTGAGTGTGTTCATCATGTTAGCATACAGATCTAAAATGTTAGCATTGAATAACTCCAGTTTCTCTACGTTTGCTCGGGTAGGTGACCCTGTCCGGTGCGGTGTTGGTCCACAGTGGGAGGAAGCCGACTCTGTTCTGGGTGAGTCTGTCGGCTCCATTTAGATCACAGAGAATATTCTCTGATCATTTAACGGTGCAGATCTCTGAACATGCTCTTCAAAAGCTTTATAGGAGCAAAAGGAGACCTGGATCAACTTCACTACTAGAAGATCTCCGATCTTTTTCTGGGTCCTGGTAGATTCCCACTAAATTAGAGCTACCAAATAAATAATTTAATGTACATTTCAATAATTGATCAGTTGCTAAAAAAAGCTATGCTGATAAATCTTAAAGTGAATTATTAAACATGATAAAGTATTTTTGGATAACTTAACTTTAGAATCCACATGAATTAACATTGAAAACGAGCAGACTGTTGGATATTTTTAATCCCAAAGGCCCCAAAACAAAGTACCAGTTCTGTGTTTACTGTTCTCAGGAGAAAGGCTATTTATAAGCACTTAATTAACTTGAAAATATTAACAAAAATTCTGAAAAGACCCTGACCCTGACCCTAATACCAAATTCCCACGAATTTCGAACCCCCCCTAAAGGTGGATCTAATGCAACAGAGAGAGAAAAAGAGAGAAAAGAGAGTCTGTGGACAAAGCCAGAGACTTTAACACAAAATATAGTTCTATAAGGAACAAGACAATCAGGACTTTACATATATCCAGTGATAGCATACGATGCTAACCTGGGTAGTCGTAGCTAACCCTGACCCCTGACCCCTGACCCCTGACTCCTTAGACTTAGACAGTACTTTATTGATCCCTTGGGAAGACTCCGTCAGGAAATTAAGGTTACCAGCAGCTTAAAGGGCAAAAAGTATCAAGTTAGAATTAAATTAAGCAGCAAAAAAACAAATAAATAAATTAAAAAAACAAAAAATACAGATTAAGTACAGTGTATGTAATATCTCCTGACCCCTGACAGGTGAAATGCTCCCTGGTTCTGCACCTGATCAGCGCGGCCTTCGCCACGGCGGCTCTGGGCCTGATGTCCAAACACCTGCCCTACCGGCAGGACTCCTACCACTGCGAGCACTGCCGCCGCCTGGAGCTGCACGCCGTGGTACCCACACACACTCACACACACACACACACACACACACTCACACACACACACAC